GGAACTGAGGCTTCCTGACAGTAACCCTGTGATGAGCTTGGTGACAAATTCTTCAGCCCCAGTAAAGTCTTTAGCTCAAGCTGACATCATGTTTGCAGCCTCATAAAAGAACCTGAGTCAGAACCATCCATCAAAAATGCCCCCTAAATCCTGACTCAGACACTGAGATAAAAAGTGTTTGTTGTATTAAGCTATTATTTTGGGGGATAATTTGTTACACAGCATTGCTAACCAGTATAAAGTGTTTTATTGATTCTTGTTAATCTTTTGGCTTAGTACTTGTTTTCAAAGCATTTTAACCTGTGTATCTTTGCCTTTTAGACATATTAAGATTCTTTATTTAGCATGATAAATGGTCAACTAAAAAATGAAATATTAGAGAAAGGCCTGTTCTGTATTATTAAAAAGATTTATTCAATCCTTTCTTGCCTCTTTAAAAAAATTGAGAAGAATTTATACAAAATGTGTTAATAGTGTGATTACAGTTTTTCCTTATTCTCTGATTTTTATCTTACATATTTTAATACAATGTAACTTGTGTGTTTATTGTAAATTATATGTTTGTTTTGGAAAGAAAATTGTTTCCTCTATAACTTTTTTGCTGTTTTTGTTAATGCTACATATCTTATTCTCTAAGTTGGTTATTTTCCTGTTATACTTTTAAAAAGCTTTTTGTTTTTCAAACCCATATTTCTGATTTAATTTTAGGATACAGAAGTTTCAGTTGATTTCATGGATCTTAAATCTTTACTCTCAAAGAATGATTTTCAAAATGTTAAAAATATTACATATACAAATAAAGAATGAATGTGTCAAAAATATACTTAGCATATTAATGAGAAAACTGGACAGACAGGATGGTGAAACTGACTCAGAGAACTTTGGCTAGTTCAGTGTTCACAGTCCCTGGAAAAGGAGGGTTAGGGTGAGATGGCTCATTTAAATATATGCTGCTAGCCCTGGTCGGTTTGGTTCAGTGGTTAGAGCATGGGCCTGTGGACCAATGAGTCGCGGGTTCAGGTTCAATTCCAGTCAAGGGCATGTATCCTGGTCATGCGGGAGGCAACCATTCATGTCTCTCTCTCACTTTGATGTTTCTCTCTCTCTCCCTTCTTCCCTCCCACTCTATCTGATGATAAATGGAAAAATAACCTCAAGTGAGGATTAAAAAAATAAAATAAAGAAATAAATATATGCTACTGATTATCGCCATGTCATCAGTGCAACAATAACTTTCAGGGTTATTGGGTGAAAATCATTTGCATCCCTACTGGACAAAGATCTACAAGTTATCATGTAACTTAAGTGTCTGAGCATTCATGAATAATAAATAGTAAGTGAAACAATTGTACTTCAGCAGTCCTGGTGGGCTTGTTAGACAGTGCTTCAGTGTGACAGTGGAAGGAAATGCAGCCCTTCTTTTGACTGATTTCCAGGAGTTGGATAAGTTTTCCTAACGTATGCTAGAAATTCCAGCTCTTAGTGACATAAACATACAACAGCTTCAGAATGACATTACCACCCTAACCACAAATGATAGCCACCATTTTCAGTGTTCAATTTGAATGTTGACATATATGGTTACTCAGGTAATCACCTCATCTATAAAGGCATAAAACATATCTATCACCCACAAAAGATCATTGGTCCTATTTTCTATCTAAGCAAATTTTATTTGCTTTTCCTAGAGTTTCCTATAAATGTACGGAATCTCATGTGTGTTAGTTTATTCTTTTATTGCTGAGAATTTTTGCATTGTATCGATAAACCATAGTTTGTTATCCATTCACTTGTGCATATCTTGATATGACTGTTTAGTACCTGCTAAGTTTCTCCATTTACTTAGGTATTTTGCTATCAGCAATGTTTTGTAGTTTTCAGTGTGAAACTATTGAGCACCTTTTAAGTTTAATCCTAAGGAATTCATGTATTTTGATGCTACTGTTGTAAATGGAGTTTTAAATATATTTTCCAATATTTTGATATTACAGGTAAATGCAACTGATTTTCATATTTTGATAATTGTGTTCTATAATCTTGCTGGTTTCACAAACAATTTTAGTAGGGATTTTCTCTGTAAATGTTTGTAGAAATTCAAATGTCTGTGAATAAAGGCAGTGATATTTTTCCCCGTGCCTATTTGTCCTGGCTAGGACCTCCAATAATGCTGAATATATTAATTAGGAAGGACAGTGTTTGATATTTCACTGTGAAGTATCATATAAACTTTAGGTTATATTTGGTGACCTTTATGAAATGAAATTTTCTTCTCTTCTTAGTGTGCTAAGAGTTGTTATTACTACTGTTTTGTCAGAGGCCAATCCTGCATCTATTGATATAATAATATAATTTTTCTTCATACTTTACGTTTATTTTCAAATATTAAGCCAGTTTTGTATTCCTGAAATAAACTCTACTTGCTTATGATTTATTACTTCTCCATGTGTTGCTGATTTAGATTTGTTCATGTTTTATTAATAATTTTTATCTGTGTTTATGAGGGGTTATTAATTGTGTTGTAATGTCATTGCTAGGTTTTTATAAATGATTATATTGGCCTCAATAAGTTGGGAGGCACACCTCCTCTTTTTTGTGTGTGTGTGTGGGGTCCTCACCTGAGGATTTTTCCATTGATTTTTAGATAGAGTAGAAGGGAAGGAGGGAGGGAGTGAAAGAGAGAGAGAGAAACATCAGTGTGAGAGAGACACATTGATTTTGCCTCCCTCACGATCCTGACTGGGGCTGAGGATCGAACGTGCAACCCATGTACGTCCATGTCCTTGACCAGGAACCAATGCCACAACCCTTTGGTCCATGGGCTAATGCTCTACAACACTTAACTGCTGAGCCAAACTAGTCAGGACCCTTCTCTATTTTATGAAAAAATAATTTTGTAAGACTGCTGTTGTTTTCTCCCTTGCATGTTTAAAAGAGTTCACCAGTGAACCCATCTGGTCTGGATTTTTCTTCTTGGGAAGGTTTTATTAATAATTTCATTAGGAAAATGGTTTTAAGGTTTTTCAGGTTTCTGTATTATTTTTGGTGGGTTTTCGTGTTCAAAGAATGTGTACATTTCATCTGTTATCTATAAGATCAGTAGTGATGTCCCCTCTTTCATTATGATTTTGATAATGTCAGTCTTTACTGTTGGTCAGTGTAACTAAAGGTGCCCGATTTTGTTCTAAAGACTCAACTTTGGTTGTGATGATATTTTTTCCTCTAGTTTTTTTTTTTTTTCCCTCTTTCTTTTTTTTCTCTATTTCAGTTATTTCCATTCTACTTTTTATTACATCTTCCTTTTACTTGTTTTGGGTTTAGTTTGTTCTTCCTTTTCTAATTCCTTAAAATGTAAAGTTAGGTTATTAATTTTCAATCTATCTTCTCGTAATATATACATTTAGTGCTATACATTTTCTTTGAGCATTACTTTTGCTGCATTCCACAAATTTTGATAAATTGTTACTTCATTTTTCTTTTGTTCAAAATAATTTTTTAAATATTTTCTTAGATTTATGTGCTCCATGTGTATATTTAGAAGTATGTTGTTTAATCCAAATATTTGGGAATTCTTCAGGTAGCTTTCTGTTGTTGATTTTTTTTTTATTTAATTACTTTGTGGACTGAGAATATGCTTTACATGATTTCAATGTTTAAAAATAAGGTGTGTTTTAAGGCACAGAACGTGGTTTGTATTAGTGAATATTCCATGTGAACTTGAAAAGAATGTTTATTCTGCTGCTACTGGATAGAGTATTTTCTCTTTTGGTCAAGTATCTTGGATTTTTATGTAATATGTATTTTGTTAGGTAAATATATTTGTAATTATAAACAAAGTAAATAGCTTGCAATGAAAATTTATGCAGCCATAGTACTTATGTTCAAAACAGAATACATAGGTGTTCAAACTAGCTGTTGCTGACAGGCAGAGACTAGAATACAGTCAATACAGTCAACTAGTATGTGTCTCTGGATGTGTCTTTCAACAGCAGTTACTCTCAGTTTTAGCTAAGGATCCATTGTCTGCTCTACCACTGGTACCCCTCTCTCTTCTCCATCCCCGACACACTATGTAGAAAATGGTCTCTTATTTCAAGGAAATGTAAATTCACAGAAATTACTACAAAGCATTTTAAGTACATAAATGAGAGGATGCTATATTACTATATTGACAATGTTTAATTTGGTTAAAAATGACTAGTGGTCATGCATAATGATAAATTTAGCTTTATGATGAAGAATGGGTAAAAATATAATAAATTTATCTCATATTTACTTTTGTATCTCAAATATATTGCAGTAGGGCCTTATTCACTGAGACAAAGAAAACAGCCCTGGCTGGTTTTGGCTCAGCAGTTAGAGCATTGGCCCACAAACCAGAGAGTCCCGGGTTCGGTTCCTACTAAGGGCATGTACCTCTGTTGCAGTTAGTCCCTGGCCCCGTTGCGGTCGTGTGGGTGACAGCCACTCGATGTGTCTCTCTCACATTGATGTTTCTCTCTCTCTCTTTCTCCCTCTCTCCCTCCTACTCTATCTGAAGATAAATGCAAAAGTGTCCTCGGGTGAGGAAAAAAAAATAAAGAAAGAAAAAAAGAAAGAAAGAAAACAGCCCCCCCCCTCCCATTAACCAGTTAACCACTACTTGTTGCTACTGAGCTGACCCTGAAATTCTTTATCGTTTACATTTTTCCAGTTTTCTTCCCATCTCCCCCTTTGTCTTCAGCTTCAGGTTTGTAAATGCTGTGAGTACTTAGGGGGGAAATGAGAAGAGTTGCTTTTTATGTCCTTCATGGCGGAAGCCATTGAGGTGTTTTGTTTTGTTTGTTTTTTTTGCAGTTGATTATTTTTTATGGTGGCTTTCTGCTGCTCCTAATCTGACCCCAGAGATGGGTTTCTCTAGGGAGTGTGCTGGCATTTGGGCTACCTACCCAGCTGTTGCTTCCATGTTCCTGCTCCTCGATGGTGTGGATAATTAACGACTGTGACTTCTCTTTGTGTTCCAGCCGGAAAGAATAGACCCCAGTGCATCGCGACAAGGCTACGATGTCCGCTCTGATGTCTGGAGCTTGGGGATCACATTGGTATGTTGATGTTGACCAGCCTTGTCCTAGTAGTGTAACAAGGAATTTAGAAGAGAAAGAAAGGGTGATCAGTCTTCCACCACTTGTAAGAACTGCTTCTTATCTCTTCTAGTCTTTGATTTATTTTTCTATTTCCCCCCCATGGCTATAATCACAGGGACTGTATCTTCTAGTTGTTGAATGAAAGTATGTTGTACACCCTAACATTTAAACTGTGATTGGTTATTCCCCTCACGTGCGAGGGCCCCCAGCCGTGGATCTCGGTCACACATCCAGGAGTCAGCAGCTGCCCCGAGAGCAGGACGGGAGGGCCTCCGAGCTGCAGCCAAGCACAGGCCTCCCAGCCAAGCACAGGCCTCCCACCCAGGCGAGGGCCGCTCCAGTGGAACCGCGTGGGCGTGTGTGTTAGGCCTACGTGCTTATATGTATGGAAATAGTGTCCACTGCAGTCTCCCAGGCACCATCGGAAAGTCACAGACAAGTAAACGGAAGGTGGTTCAGTTGTTGAGAAACAAGAGCTGCCTAGGTGACCGTCCTGAATGAAAGTTCTGCCGAGAAGGAGAGGGAGACAGCTGTTTTATCTGAACCTCGTTGAGCACAATTAGCTAGTCTTCTTTCTCACCTGGGGCTGCACTGAAATTGTGGTTCTATTTTAAAAGCATCTTTATTTGCTTATTTCTTTAATACCAAGTTTTGTTTTGAAGTTTTAGATTCATTTTCTTGTGCTTGCTGTTTTACCAGGCTTGATGGCATTTTTTGGGTTTGGACTGCTTCACCGACACGGGCTGAATCTCCCCTCGTTAGGTGGGCTGTGTTAGTTAGCCTGGTGGTATCCTTGCTGCGCCATGTGGCCAGCCTGGTGGTCTCCGTGCGGAGTAGAAGGCAGGCTAACCACTCACTTCTGCAGAAGACACTTCTGGTTTCTTCTGTGACCAAGTATGGGGACACCTCTTGGGGCCTTTTCCTATTGTGAAGCCAGCTGACCAAAGGGGAAGGAATTCCTTCTTTTCTCAGTTAGGAGAGAGCATGGAACTTGGGTGTCTTTTAGGTGTGGTGACTGGTACCAAAGACCGAAAAGACCTACAGCTTCTAGCTGAGGTGGCTGTCTGCATGCCAGGGATACTAGCAACTCAGAAATGCCGGTCTGGGTCCAAACCAGTTATGGTAAAAGCAAGTGTTTACTCCATTATAAAAACAAGTTTTTGTCCTGTGAAAGGTTTTAACATAGTAAATCATTTTAGCAAGTTTCTTTAGTACATTTGACTAAAGTTTGTTTAAAGCAAGGTATTCAGTACTTATAATTGCTTCATAATTTGTTTTTTTTATGTGGATAATCTTATGCAATTACGGAATGTGTGAAATTAATTTCTAGGGTCCTAAATCCTTCAGCTTATACCTTCTCTTATTAAAACCTGTTCTGTAGAATGAATCTGATGAGGTTATTCCTGACGTTGTGAATAATCAATAAGGTTTACTTCTTTGCAAGCATTTGCGTTTTCATTGAAAAGAAACCTCAGCAAAGGAGGGTTTCTGCGCTGTGTGCAGGCCTGTCTGCCCGCCTGTCTGCCTGCCCGCCCACCCGCGTGTGTAGTTGGAGGCAGTGATGAGCTGTAAGGCATTTTTGGGGAAGAAGCCTTTCCATCTGAGCTTTCAGTTTGAGGATGGCTTTATGTTTCTGTGGTAGCTTTCCTTTAGTTGTGTAAAATGAATATTGGCTAATTAGCAAAGATGAACTCTGAGCAGGAGAAGCTCTGAACCGGTCCTCCTGGGCGGCGCCCTCGCACGCGGTCCTCCTCCAGCAGGCTCGGAGCCTCGGCCTACGGAGGTCGGTCACCTGCCAGTGCTCATAAACGGGTTCATCGCGGCCATACTGCAGTTAGCTATACTTCTGGGAAAAGGCACAATGTCTAGGTTTCCTATATCCTCAGGACAGAGTAGGAGAAAGATGAGAATATAGTTCACAAGTATCTTTGACCTGTGACCCGTTGGGGCCTCCATCCACAGAGTTTCCACAGCTGGTTTGGTGTGGGTTAGAGATCTTGTCTGGAGCATCATTATTGGGCTTCAAGGTGAGGGCTTTGACCCTGACTTGTTTCTTCAGTAATAGTGACCTCTGGTTGTGGTTGAAGTTGTGGTAACACAGAATGGCTGTAGAACAGGATGTACACATTGTTTCCTCTGAGCTCATTGGGCGTTTTGTATGTTGAATGTATTTTACCTTAAAAATGAGTTTGCCCACTGCTCTGGACATGGCCTTCCCTCAGGAAGACTGTACACTGGCCGACATTGTACTAGCATAGCCCTAAAACCAGCTTCCAGACCCTACAAACAGGAATCGCACTGGACGCCGCCTGCCGCCTGCTTTGTGGGCTTGTCTGGGCTGAAGCTCAGGGTTTCCTTTTAGTCCAAGTTCTTAAATGTGGTTGATACAGAATTCTTCATATTATCTTGATTCTAATCACTTTCACTTCGCTGTAATACTCCTGAAGATTCCACCCTAACCTGATAGGGTTTGGTTCAAAGCTTTTACAGGAGTTTTGCTAGGAGTTTAGGTTTTCAACGTGGCCCTTTCAGTGAGGAGTGGTAAATAATGCCTTAGTGTAGTCTGCTTTTCCTCTTTGTTCTTTTTTAGTACGAGTTGGCCACAGGCCGATTTCCTTATCCAAAGTGGAATAGTGTATTTGATCAGCTGACACAAGTCGTGAAAGGAGATCCCCCACAGCTGAGCAATTCGGAGGAGAGGGAGTTCTCCCCAAGTTTCATCAACTTTGTCAACTTGTGGTGAGTACTTGGTTTGCTTGAAGACAGTGAGGTCATTTCATCTTAGCAACACTGGCACTTTACACCGGGGGAGGGTTGCCTTCGATATCAGTGCCTTCTGAGCGGGGACTCTGATCAGTGGCCACGTGGGGGCTCCAGCTCGCCTGGAGAGGCTGCATGCTCTCTGAAAACAGCTGTGGGTGGTGGAGAAGCCTCTGCCTCCCGATTCTAGAACCCCGTACAAGAAAAACAGCCTGGGTGAGAGATCATCTTATGCCGATGTGGTTCTAGTGGTGAGATTGTACCAGAGTCACTTGGAAGCTTTTACGAAGTGAAGACCCTACCAGATCAGACTTTCAGGGATGGGTCTTACTCTGTGTGACACAGGGCATGCTTGGGTGTGTGTAGTAAGTCGGGCCCTAAGCTCACGTGGTAGAATTATATTGGCTCTCTGAAAGCTTACTCTAAGGAAGGTGGATCCCACACCTGTGGATGTGGTCTGTCCACCTTCTAACAGGTGTGTGTACGTGTGCGCCTGTGTGTGCAGCACGTGAGGGTGAGCATGCAGTACAGCAATGTGGTCGTGCTCCGTGCTGTTTCAATCTGTGTTTTAAATACAACTAGTTTTGTTGTTATTTGACTATTTTTGCTAATTATTGTTTTATCTAATGTCATTTAAACATATATGTTTATGAGCAAAACACGATTGTGTTTAGTAAGTATATCTCCTTTACATTCTTAAAACTGCTTTTCTTTTCTTTTTCTCATAGGTTGCCTAATTTTTCATGTTTTCTGAGTTTGACAGGTTGTCTGCTTTGTTACTTTTTATCTGAAAGAAAAAAATGACTTGATTCTTTATAATGTTTTGCTTGTGAAAAAAAAATACTTGGGATAAATATGTCTTCATTTTAATAATGTTATTTTTATGTTATTTTAGCCTTACAAAGGACGAATCCAAAAGGCCAAAGTATAAAGAACTTCTGGTGAGTATGAGACCTCGGGAATGTCAGCTGCCCCTCCGGTCCCTTGAGTACGCTCAGGGGCCTCTCACTGAGCAGGCGGGGGCCTCACCCTCCCTGAGCGCTTGGAGGAGGTTCCAAAACAAAGATGTTCAGAAAGAGAAAATTTGTAGTTATAACTTTATTACTAATTTGCTAGCTATATTCTCATGGGAAGTTTTGGCCTTGACATGTTATAAAAATTACCCTGGAGAATTTTAACATTCACTTGAAGGAGCCATTTCTGTACCACATGGGGTGTGTGTGTGTGTGTGTGTGAGAGAGAGAGAGAGAGAGAGAGAGAGACACACCCATACGAGTGTATTGTGCTTATTCTGCCTTATTGCATGTCCTCACGCAAAGCTAGTCACACAGCCAGTTTCCATTCCCTCAGTCCTCGCCGCCCGGACCCTGGCATTTCAGGCCGCCTCCGGGTGTGGCATTGCTCTCGTCTGTGAGGGAAGCACCGTGATCTCAGAGTGTGGGAATCTCAGAGTTTGTCACACGTTGCCTCTGGCTCTCTGGGATGTGAGGCCAGACGCATGGTCCACCCCAGCTGTGACAAGGTGCCCAGTCAGTGTCTTAGCGGGGCCGTGACAGAGAGATTGGTCGAGGAGTTATGGAGAGGTGGGTTTCGAGGCAGAGGCGGCTCCCGGCTCTGGAGAGTCGCCCAGAAGTTCATAGGGTGAGTCTCCCTGCGCCCTTCTGGCCGGGGCAGGAGGACGGAACAGAGTCCTTTGCTCTCGGTTCACTTTGCGCCTGGGGAAGTGGCAGTTGGAGTTTGCGTCTGTGTCCTGAGACTGGCACCTGGTATTCATGTCGTTCTTGGTTCTCAGAGGGTGCTGAGGACAGTGGTGCCGGCTGCCTTCGCGCCCAGATTAGTTCCCAGACCTACCCCCAGGGGGCCTCTCCAGGTCCCAGCCCTGTGCTCCCGGCTCGCCCCGCGCGGACGCCCCTCTGGGGGACGCAGGCCGTGCTCGCCTCTCCCAACTGGACGGGCGACAGCCTTGCAGCCATGCGTCGCCGGAGCCTTGGCTGTGCACAGTGTCACGGTTGGGAAAAGTTCAATGTGGGCTCTGATACAAATTTTGATACTTTTCTTTTTCAAATTTCTTGCAGAAACATCCCTTTATTTTAATGTATGAAGAACGTACCGTAGAGGTCGCAAGCTATGTTTGTAAAATCCTGGATCAAATGCCAGCTACTCCCAGCTCTCCCATGTATGTCGATTGATACTGCTGCTGCGTCGGACTCTAGGAAAAAGGGCTGAGAGGAAGCAAGACGTAAAGAATTTTCACCTGTACCACAGTGTTTTTATTGCTCGCCCAGACACCATGTGCAATAAGATTGGTGTTCATTTCCATCATGTCTGTATACTCCTGTCACCTAGAACGTGCATCCCCGAAGTACCCAAGTGATCACACAGTGTTAGTGCTGGTCAGAGACCTCATCCTGCTCTTTCCTGATGAACATACTCATGAAATGTGGAAGTCAATACGATCAATTTGTTGACTGTGATTAGATCACATCTTAAATTCATTTCTAGACTCAAAACCTGGAGACACAGCTACTGGAGTGGTATTTTGTCAGACTTCGGATACTGGAAGAACGCAGTGATGGATGTACTATGTCTGGACGTAGAGACGTGGGCTGAGTGAGAAGCGTTTGCACAGCCAACGAGACACATTGCCTTCTGGAGCTGGGAGACAGAGGAGGGACTTCCTTTCTTCACCAAGTGCAATAGATTTACTGATCTGGTATTCTGTTGCCTCACCGTCACAATTGATGTTTGGGGATCAATGTGCCCAGCCAGATTCCTGTTTGAAAATTATTTTCAATTAGAATGAATTTATCTTTACCAAAAACCATGTTGTGTTCAAAGAGGTGAACATTAAAATATTGAGACGGGACAGAATGTGTTCTTTCCTCCTCGACCAGTCCTTCTGCTCTTCACTGGGCAGACTCGGGTCTGACCCTAAGAACTGTCTCTCAGAATTTGGTGTGCTGTCATCTTGGTGTTCCACCTGCCACAAACCACCAGGACTGAGAGAAGAAAAACGCACGGAGGGCAAAGTTTACAGATGTTTTTAATTCTAGTATCTTGTCTGGAACAACTTGTAGCAGCTCTGTATTTCCCCTTTGTCCCGAGCCTGATATTTAGCCATCGTAACTCACTCACAGGGAGAACTAGCTGGGAGCAATGTGCCTTGATTGATTAGATTCAGATTTCTTGTAGGCAGCAAAAGACCAGGTCTCAGCTGTTTGCATCACTGGTCCAGGCCTTCCGTTTCTGAACCTCTTTCCCTGCTGTGCAGTCTGGTACCAACCACTATGTGACTTTTGCTCATCTGATATTTCGCCTTTCCCCCTATATCAGAAACCTTATAATTACCAGGGATGTTCCTTACCAAGGATTTCTAGCCCTAAACCTCTCAGATGTTCCAGTGCTTAAAAGGCTGAGAAACACGGGGCACAGTAATTCGGTCGGTGATGAGCAAGCATCTTCCTAGAAAGGTGTGACCCAGTGAGGACTTGATAAGCTCATCACCTGCGAGAATTTCTAGTGGGCCACCATCATTTCTTGGAATTGGAATTCTACAAGAAACCCCAAACCACACCAGAATAGCCATGAGGCCATTTAAATCTGCTGTCTTTTGCTGTGCTTCCTCACTCCCCTTAGCCAGGTTCTCCTTGGGTTCGCTCTGGCCTCTGGCGCCGAGTGTTCGGCTTTGCAAGCAGCACTGTGAGTGGTCCAAGCACACTGGAATAGGAAACAGCCGTGGTCTGAGATGCAGATGACGCCGTTATGGAGCCACGTGGTGGCGGGTGTTGCTGTGTCTCCTCCCAGAGTGACAGTCATAACACTATAAACAATAAAGGGAGAATGGTGCTGTTTTAAAGTCACATCCCTGTAAATTTCAGAATTCGAACATGATTTATCGCTTTGGTCCATTTGCCTAATTTTCCTACTTTCTCCCCCATGGCGTCCTGAACTTAGACTTCCCAGTGTTCTGAACGGAAGCATGGCCGTGTCTTCCTTCAGCCACACCAAGCCATCGTTCTCCGTCTCTCCCGGGGCTCGAGAGGACCTCGCCTCTCTGCTGCCTGTCTCCCGTCTGGCTCAGTGTGGGGCCACTTTGCCATTGTACCAATGGAGATCTAAGCAATTCTGACTGTCCAGGAGCTATCTGACCGTTCTGTTGTGTGGATGACCACATAAAAAGGCAATTTTAGTGTATTAATCATAGATTATTATAAACTATAAAATTAAGGGCAAGGAGTTTATTACAATGTATCTTTATTAAAACAAAAGGGTGTATAGTGTTCACAAACTGTGAAAATAGTGTAAGAACTGTACATTGTGAGCTCTGGTTATTTTTCTCTTGTACCATAGAAAAATGTATAAAAATTATCAAAAAGCTAATGTGCAGGGATATTGCCTTATTTGTCTGTAAAAATGGAGCTCAGTAACATAACTGCTTCTTGGAGCTTTGGAATATTTTATCCTGTATTCTTGTTTGAATTCCTCCTCTATTTAAGATATACACATGGAATCGAAGTGTTTATGTAATAGTTCTATCCTTTTGCCTGCAGGTCAGTTGTAATAAATCTAGGATGTGATGATGACTTTGTAATTTGATTTTCTGAAGTCAGACCCTGAGGGGAAAATTAAGTAAATTCCATTAAATTATCTGTGCATTTCACATTGGGAAAGATTCTCTCCTTCTGGAAGTGTTCGTGGCTTCTTCCTTGTTCTCCTCGTGTGGTTGCTGTATCGCCTCACTTTCTGTCTGGGCGGCCGTGCAGGTCTGAGGGCGTGCTGGTGGGCTGCCCCGCCCCGCCCCGCCCTGCCCCGCCCCGCCCCGCCCCGCCCCGCCCCGCCTGCCCTGCCAGCGCTGCTCTTCCGCCTGGGCACGGGCGTCCAGGCCGATGGGCTCGTGCGTGGTACCAGCCAGGCTTTCTGCTCCTGGTGAGGATCAGATGTCAGCTCAGATCGCGGCCACTCAGGCTCCCTGAGCGAGCGGGAGGGCGGGGAGATTCGTGCCCGTCAGACCTGGAAGGTGTGGGCAGGCGACTCGGAAGTGAGCCCAGGCCCTGGGAGAGCACGCTGAGCACTGCATCTGTCTGTTACACCGCCACCTGGCGGTCAGGGAGCAAATCTGTTAACTTTCACCCTTCCCTTTTCTGTGCCTGCTGCTTTTTTTTTTAAACACTTTTTTCTTTTTTCTTATCCTCACCCGAGGATATTTTTCCAGTTTTTGTTCAGATAGAGTGGGAGGGAGAGAGAGAGAGAGAGAAACATCAACATGAAAGGGACAGATCGAGTGGCTGCCACTTGCACGACCCAACCAGGGCCGGGGACAAACTGCAGCCAAGGTCTGTGCCCTTAGCGGGAACTGAACCCGGGTCTCTCTGGACCGCAGGTCGACACTAACCACTGAGCCAAACCGGCCAGGGCTGTGCCTGCTAATCTGACCTGAGATGCAGGAGGTACCATCACAGAACCAGATATGTAAGTAGCAAACCTCCAGAGAAGGGTATGGTGGCAGGAATCCTGGCCTCTCCCCCCTGAGGCACAGGTGACAGGAGAAAGGTGACCCCCTGGATGGTCCAGACCCCCCAGCGGAGTACCAGCCTGGTGTCCTGAGAGGTGGGTAGACTGCACTACCTGCTCTGTTTACAGTACATGCATTTGTTCAGCTCATTTGATCCTGATGCAGCCTTCAGTCAGGTTGTAGTGTCCGCTTTTAGATGCAAACAAAAACCACGCAAGGCAAGGCTTCCAGGAGTCAGGTTCTGGCCCTGACAACACTAGGGAGGAGAGAGAGATTCAGATCCCGAGGGAACCAGAATTGAGCAGACCTGAGGTTCCACACCTAATCAGGCCGCTTTGTTACCTTGGACATGAGTTGGCGGCAGAGTTCTGAAGGCCCGGGGCCAGGCAGCTTGCAGCAGGTGGCTGCCTTAGAACGGACCGGAGAAGCCAGCTCCCGGGTCTCCAGTGGGATTCCTGAGCTGGGGGCAGAGCCCCTGTCCCTGTTAGCACGCAGACACTGCGTCAGTCACTGAGGGAGGCGGGGAAGGAGATTGAGGTGAGTTTAAAGTGCCCTTTCCCTTCTCACTGTCTCAGCTGCAGGAGGACAGGGACATGCAAGGTCGTGGGAGTGCCCGGAACCCGGCCGCCCTGCGTCACAGGCCCAGAGGCGGTTTTACGCCCCGGCTCCTGGCCAGGGCTGCTCATCAGATGTCGCAGCATCTGTGCTTATGCCTTGGAAAGTGAGGGCTGAGAACCTAGAAACTGCCGACTTTGAACTTGGTGGTTTCCTCAAATACTTAATTACGTGGTTTGAAGGAAAAACCCCATCAGCAGCAGTGACCCACGGTGCGCCGCAGACCACGTGGGGTGGACAGTGGTGTTAGGCGGCGTCCTGTAAGGGGTGCCCTCCGTACGCGAAACAGCAGCCTCCACGTAGCCTCCGGGAACTTGCTGTGGACTGAAGCGATGTATTTATCGGTCTTCCCCATCCTTCAGATAAACGAACATCCAGGAATTCTCATCAGGGGATAACATTTTGTTGTTTTTCTGACGATATGCCAAAGTGTATACTTGTTAGGTGTAAATGTGACTCTGCTGTTTGAAATTGTCCATCTGTGCAGTGGAGTATGAAGTCACAATCGAGTAATCATAATGTATAGTGAATCACATTTTTTATGTGCATTTGAAATTTCTATCTATGTAGGTTTTGCTGAAGGGCTTCAAAATAGAACTACTTTTTTGTTGTTAATTCTCACCTGGGGAGGATATTTTTCCATTGATTTTATTTTTTGGCGGGGGGAGAGAGAGAGACATTCATGTGAGAGAGACTCATCGATTGGTTGCCTCCCGCATACCCCCTGACCAGGGCCTGGGATCGAACCTGCAACCGAGGTACATGCCCTTGACCAGGAACCGAACCTGAGACTCTCTGGTCCAAGGGCTCACACTCTAACTGCTGAGCCAAATTGGCCAGGGCTTACTTATCTTCTATACCCTTGTTGATCTGAAATACTTCACAATTTTTCAAAATTTATTTTTCAATTATAGTTGGCATACAATATTATTCATTTCAGGTGTGCAACATAGGGATTAGACATTCATACACCTTATGGAGCATGCTCTCCAGCGCATCACGACATTTTACAAGGACGCTAGACAACAGTGACACCACAGTAATCGGGGAATGGCGATTCTGGTGCTGGGAAAGGCAGTTAAGGCGACAGGCCTTCCCTCAGGCCGTCACGGGAGTAGCGTGGTGCCCCCTTCTACCCTCTCTGCTGGGGCACAATCACTGGAATGGAAACGCAGTCAAGCCACAGTCTAGCCTGTGACAGGCCTGGTGTAAAAAGATGAGCGGACTGGTCCTCCTTTCTCAGGACTGGACGGGGACACTGAGATGATGAGGCAGGTAGCCCAGCTGCAGGACTCAGGCCGGAGCCTCTGAGCTGGGGGGAGCTTGCTATGTGAGTCTGTGCGAGTCAGAGCTGCAGGGGACAGACGCCCTGTGCAGGACAATGTCCAGAGAAGGCCGATGCAGGAGGAGAGAGTCGGCCTGGAGGGTAGAGAGAGTAGAGAGGCCTCCTTCCTGAAGGCCTCCAGATGCCGAGGCCCTAAGCCACCCTGCAGGTCCAGTGTCTGCGCCCGGCGCCCACTGTAACTCCTGCTCCCCAGCCAGAGGCGAGCTCCCCCTCACACACTAAGTCCAATGATAGTCGTCATTGTTTTCAAAATATCGAAACTATCTGGCGGGCTTCTGGGCTGGCCAAGACACAGGACGCCCATGGCTCCAGCCTCTGTCTCTGAGGACAGCTAAGAAGTCCAGACAACAGCAGAGGCAGCTCCCTATGGACTCCGAACAGCAGGCAAGAGCGAGCAGACGGGGAAAGAGCGGGAACTCGGAGACACGGACTGTTTCGTTAAAACTCACCGAAGTGCCCACCAACAGGAGTGCATGGTTCTGCAATGAGATTGATTTTTAAAGCAGGAGCACATGAGGGGACAGAGTGGGAGGAAGATTCCGAGGACCGACCTGGGAGTCACCAGGCTCAGCCGCTCTTGGTTGCTTGATCTGCGTGGCTGAATTGAACCTCAAAAACAGAAAACATTCCCCCAAACTACCTGGAAGCAAGCGCGCGAAGGGAGCTCATGTCTGTGCACTTTCTAACTGTGCCATGGAAGATGCTGACAGAGGGACCCCCCTGGGCAGACAGTGGTCTCCCAGGCCCGCCGGTGTAGGAGGCTGGACTGGGTTCTGCACAGTGTGGGGCAGGCACGGTTCCTCCGCAGCATCGCCTGGCTTCTGACATCCTCCCTGACCTGAGGCAGTGAGCAGGGAGGTTCTTCCACACCCAGGTAGCCATTCATTACCTGTCCCGTGTGCACACCACGACAGCTTCCCGCCTTGGCCGTTCACCCATTCGTTCTGCCAGGCAGGGGCTTATCCTCACCTGCACAGCTGAGGGCTTCAGACTCCAGACGCGAACTGCCTGGGTTTGAGGCCCGGGTCAGCCTTTACCACGCAAACTTGAGTCCTGTGCTTCCGTTTCCTCACCTAGAAGACGGGGATAAGAAAATATCTGCCGCGGAGTGTTTTGGTGAGGATTTAATAAAGTGTATCCAACGTGCTTCCCAGAGTGTCTGACCCCTGGTGGGTAACCGGTCTGTACAGGAGCTCAGTTCTCATTGCCTAAAACGCAGGTTGCATTAATTCTATTGGCCACTTGGGGGAGCCATATAGCTGGAAACGGAGTTCCAGGAAAAGCAGAGTCAAGATTTTGGTCCTGTCTGTCGCGGAGAAAGGGTCAGCTAGTTTCATTCCCTCATTTTTGCATTTGGAGAAACAGGCTCAAAGAGGAGAAATGATTTGCTCACAGTCATGCGAGTAACTGGTAATCTGAAGACTAGAGTTTTTTTATGTTATTAATGAATCACTTGATAAACCCGAATCAACTCGAGTTACAAGCTTAGACTCAAGCATAGCCAAATGCACTGCTCTCCATGGTGTGTCTCTGTAGAGTTTAAAATAATCCCACCCTTCTCAAATTCTTGGCTAAGTTTGTGTTGTACTATTTTATTTTATTGAGGTCTATGTTTAAATAGCAGTAGTTTAACAGATATTGTTTAATATATATGATGCCTTGATATATACATAGTTTTTATAAAACACAGGCAACAGACATTGCTTTTAAGAAACTTACTTATGCAGGTGAGAAAAGACACACACACACACACACTCCCTCCCTTGGTGATCACATTGCATTTCAAAGCTTCAAGTATCCCCTATAAGCAGATAATTCTCAAATTTATATTTCCAACCTAGATCTCCCCCCTGGATTTAGGCTCATTAATCTCACTTCTTACACAGAGTTTCCACTTGGAAGCCGGCGAGACACCTCTTGTTCTCGTTATTTAACACTGAGCTCCTTCTCTTCTGTACTGTTCCTCCAACAGACCCATCTCAGCTAGTGGCAACTTCACCCTTCCGTTTGCTCAGCCCAAACCGTGGAGTTGCCCTTAAACCCTCTCTTTCTCTAGTCTCCACATTGAGTTCCTCAGCAGACATGTGGGCCTTCTAGGCAAGATAAATCCAGAATCGTCACTTCTTACACCCCCGTAGCTGCCACCACGTCTGAGCCACTGTCTTCTCATCTCTGGTTATTGCCATGGCCTCCCGCTGACC